CAATTTCAAGAAAGCCATGCATTCTTTTCGCTTTCTTTAATTTTTTTTCCTTTTTTTTTTGTTATAAAAATAGATTAGGCTAATTTTTATTAGGGCTTTAGAAGTCATTTTACGTTTTTGGGGACCTTTTGATCAAGTTGGATTGGGCCTCGGTGGTAACTCCTAGCTCCCTTGGTTCGTTTCCAATACCAAGTCTTAAGATACCTCAAAAGAGTTAGCGTGGCTTAGAAAGTATTCCAGCTGGATCAATAGCTCAAAGAATGATTATTTAAAACAAATTATGGCTTGCCTAAGTAAGATGTGGTGTGGAGGCTAAAAGTTTATTAGTTTAGCGTCGGAGAGATCTCAATGCTCTATTTAGTTGGTAAGGGAAAAGGAAATATTGTCTCTTCTCTCCCAAACTTACCCACGTGAAACCAAAAATTATGAGCTCGAATTTTTAATGTTCCCAAGCACCCCGAAGTCTTTTAATACCTTAGTTTCACATAAGCCCAATAAACTTCTATAATATCCATACCACGATTCACTTGGCAACCTCTGATATGTGGCTTGGGCCCACTTTTTCATAAATTTAGGCTCGTCCTGTGGCACTTTTACAATACTCGGGCATCGAGCACCCGTCCCCCTCCCAACCCATACCCTCCCCAAACATGTCCCGGGCCTCTCCCCAAACCGTCCCCCTCGCCACCCATCCCCTACCCAATCCGGTCGAACCACCCATTCTTCAACCCCTATAAAAATCCCCCAACATACCAACATCATATCTTAACAATCTCCCCAATGATTTCCAAACATAATTCTCTCAAATATTAAAACATACTAATCAAGAACACATTGACAATGTGTGTAACAAATTCACAATATAAATTAAGAACACGCATTTGAGGATTTCTTTGAGATATTTGACGAGTTCCTATATATTGGGATAATTCGAGGAACTCTATTCCGACCCATTAAATGCCTTTTTTTTTCTCTATATTAAGGGACTATAAGGATATGAGACTCATTTTAGGATCTAAGATGTTCACTACACGATAATTCCACTAGACAACATGATTGATAAAGTGAGACGTTTTGATGCACTACCAAATTTGCTTTCCACCAAACTTACTTTTTTTTATTCACCAATGTATTGAAATCCTAGTGTAAAGTAATTTTATCAAAACCACAAATTTCAGAAGTGATAATCTTTTTTAGTAAACCACTGAATCAGATGAAGTTTCCCTTTAAAAGCAAGGCACTCAGTTGGTGGCATGTTATGGTAAAAAAATCAATACTATTGAACAAGTGCTTAAATGGGCTTGCATGTGAGATTTTTGGACCCTAACATACACAAAGTCAAATGTGTCATTAATTTTTTTTTTATTAAAAAGTGGGCAAACAAAAAGACATATGAGATGTGTCTAGTAGCTCTCTTATATTATATAAATACATACCATTATCTTACATGGACATTAAGAAAAACTTATAACCACCTTTTAAAACAGTTTAATTAGTAAACAATCCTATTTTTTGACACCTGCATAGTATATATATTTGGATTAGGAGAAATTAGGTTCTCATCCCTCTTTTTGCTACTCCATTGATTAAAATCTCATTCCTTTTCAATTTTTGATCAAGGTCCTTGGGTATTAATAACATCATTAATTATTTCAATAATAAAATATTTTTTATTTCTAAATATATTCATTTAATGTTAAAAATGTTACAATTAGTATATTTATATTTATGACTAAATTTTTTATCATAGATTTTTAGTTTTAGTTTGTACCCATTTTTAATTTGTACCAATTTTCTTTTCAGTATTAATTTGTACCCATATATTAATTTCTTTTTGTGCCCATATTTTTTTAAGTTTATTTGTAGTTGTACCCATATATATTTTTTATTTGTACTTTATATTTTGCTAAATGTACCCATTCATGTAAAACTTTTTAATCTTAAAATGTACTCATTCTTAAATATACCAATTTGTTATATGTAAAATGTACCATTTTTTTTATATAAATTCTATTCAATTTTTTTCTAATCCATTTTTAAACTTATATGGGTACATTCTTTTTTCTTTGATTTTAAATTGTATCCATGTCAAGTTTAATCGAAGATATTTACTAATTTTATTAAGCCTAATATTTTTTTTGTTGTGATTTTGAAGAATGTACCCATGTTTTGATACAATAATGTTTTTGGTTAATTTTGATGAATGTACCCATGTTTGTATATATACACACACACAATAGTATAGTAATATTTTAATATTTTAAATCCCACAAATTATGGTTTTTATTTATTTAAAATCTCATTTATATAAACAACTAAAATTTCTAATTTTTAATTTAAAAAATATAGTAACGTACATAGAAATAAATTATCACATTAATTTCAGGGATCTCGATCAAAAATTAAAAACCAACAAGGTTTTAATCAAAGAATATTCATAACTAAGGACCGCATCCAAAGTATTCCTTTGGATTATTTGTTTCCCTGTAAAGAAGCTGTTGAGTACGTAGGTTTTTACCTTCTCTCATGCTCAATTACCTTTGGAAGGTTGACTAGAAAACATCTCAACCCTTGAAGGCCAATATAACAATAAAAGTAAGAAAGAGTTATCTGTCCCCCTAAAAAAATTCTTCTCTACAAACAATTTATGCAACCGGTGTCTCACGATAAGTAGTTGGGTTGGCTAGCATGTGATAAACCAGAAACGAGACACGAGACATCGAATGAAAGGCCTTATAAAACGCTGCTAGTTTCATATTTGGAAAAACACGCATTCTTGTGGACATAGCCAATCTTTTGATCTCTCCTTTTGTTATCTTTGTTGTTGTTGTTATTCTTCTTCTTCTTTCAATCTGTGCATAGTGCGTGGTTTTTACCCATGCGTCCTTTTATCCCTTCCATTCGGAATCTGTATATATCTACCTATAAATCCATTGTCAAGAAATGGCGACACATGAAAAAGAAATCATCCTCAGCTCCACAAGAGGAAGCCATAGTTGACCAATTTCGAGACAATGATGTGATTTTTGAGGTAAATATATTGTTTGATTGTCAATTTTGCATGATTGTTCAATACATATAAATACAGTCTACATTAACAATCTTACAAAACATAACATGAGAGCAATATTCCTCTCGTATACAAAATGATCAAAATTTATAAACAAGAACTGCGTGTGGATAGGAATGTCTTAAAAAGATAATAAAATTTCATTGTAATATTAACTTTGAAAATCAATATGCTTATTCCTGTGTTTATCTAATTACATGCATGCATGCAGATTAACGGTAACCTTGATAATCAATATGCTGCAACATTATGCTTCCATAATTAACAACATTATAACCTCGTTTTTTCACGTGTTTCTAATTGCATTGCATGCATACAGATTAACTAATTTGTATACGTAGTATTGATCAAGATAGCTTTTATATGTATACATATATGTGTATATACATACAGGAAGTGGGTGAGGATACAGAAAAGAAAACCATGCATGGATTGCACAGCTTTAGATGCATTAGCCTGCAAAGAATGCGACGCCCTGATCCATCAAGCCCTAGAGGTCTCAAAAGCGTGGACTGCATCTTTAACGTGTCTTCTCCTCGTTTCTCAAAGAGCTCAAGCCGAAAGAGTCGCACCCCTTCACCCTCCCTCAAGAAAACTAAGAGCCGGAAAAGCTGGCCCGATTCTGCGGTGCCCTCTCCGGCAACCCCCACTACGCCGGGGTGTACTACTAAAAGCGCGGACTGCACGCCCGCCCATCCCTTTCTCTCAAAAAGTGAGAGCCGGAAGATCCCTGCCCCCATCATGTTTTCTAACTCATCTGGGATGTTGAAACCCCCAGCCATTGAGAAGCAGCTTGAGTGCACCTTAGAGGAGCTGTGCTTTGGATGCCAGAAGAAGATGAAGGTCACAAGGGCTATCGTCAAAGACACCGGGTTGGTTACCTTGTCCTTGATTTACTATACAACTATTCTCGTCAAAATGTCATCAAAATGTTGATCGCGTCTCTTTTTCATGTACTTGTACGTATATATGTGTGCGACTTAACGACTCAAAATGAGATCTCTTTATCAAACATGTTATGACTAGTACGAATGGCTGATCATATTGTTGACTGCATCCTTTATGAAGGTGAAACCCTAAATAGGCAGAACTTGGATCAACAATGTGATTAGTAAATGTGGCACGGAAGCGATACTCTAGAACCAAATATCATCATTTGCTCATATATATATGGGTGAAGCTTAGATCATTTGCTTACTTGTTCCTAGTATCTTTTCATATTAATTTGTTTCAATGGCAGGCAATTGGCTCAAGAAGATGAATTGGTAACAATACAAGTGGAGCCAGGATGGAAGAAAGGAACAAAGATTACATTTGAAGGATTGGGAAATGAGAGACGAGGTGCATACCCAGCAGACATAATCTTTGTGATTTCTGAAAAACGACACCCTTTGTTCAGAAGAGAAGGAGATGACTTGGAGTTGGCACTTGAGATTCCATTGGTGGAGGCTCTCACCGGCTGCATCATCTCAATCCCTCTGCTGGGCGGAGACCAGATGAAGCTGACGATCGACGACATCATATATCCTGGCTATGAAAAGATCATATCCGGCCAAGGCATGGCACTCTCTAAAGATGAAGGAAAGAGAGGAAACTTGAAGGTCACGTTTCTGGTCGATTTTCCGACCGCCCTCACCCATGAACAACGATTGGATGTTCAAACCATTTTAGAGGATTATGATTGATCGTCAGTGATTGTAGTCTTTTTTGCCCCTTTCATTGTTTTCATAGTAGATAGTACAGATAGAATCCAATGCTTCATTTGTATAATATAGGTAGAAGCTTTTGTAAGACAACCCGGTGTTTATATATTGAAGAGTTTTAGCGCAGAACTGGGAGTAACCAAGTTAGAGCATTGTGATCTTCCCGCTGCGCCCAAGTTCGAAACCCTTTCACCTAGTTTAGGTTAGAATTAAATATGGCTCGGATAAAACCCACGAAACGCTTTAGCTTTGGAATATGATAGTATAAGCAGCAAGAACATGATTGTATGATACAATTACAAACACATTTAAACATATAAATCTATGATATTCATCCCCAACTTTTACACTCTCCATTTCCCTTTTCATAAACAATCAAGCCTTTGTCAAAGTGAAATCAGAACAATATTCGTTTACTATACAACGAAAGACTTCTATAAATGACCGAAAGAAGAAATCACACGAGCAAAGCGAGATCCTATTCTCTCTTAAGCCTCAGGCCATCCGAACAGAGCACGGATTATGCTTAATATGCCACCGCCCATTAGAGCCTTCAGAATTCTTAGCTTCCCCTTTGTGTATGGTGGGTACCTTATGGAGGCATCCCCAACAAAACCGCGATAAACAACAGCCTTCTTATGGCTAAAGGCGTCGAAAGAGAATTTTCCATGGTATGCACCCATTCCACTCTCTCCAACTCCTCCAAAAGGCACGGAGGGTACAGCAAGCTGTACCATCAAGTATATATAATGCAAATTAGATTCTAAACAGAGTTTGGAATAACGGAAATAGATTAATCAGTGTGCATGTGACTGTGCGGTGTTATATGTAACAAATGGAAATGCCAAGAATGCATCGATGAACATGTACTGTCTTGTTTCAAGAATTTCGAGGGTGAAGCATTACATGTACGGTCGTGTCATTGATAACCAAACCCCCGGCAGATACAGTATTTACAAAGTGCTCCTTCAGCTTCTTCTTGTTGGTAAACAAATACGCAGCAAGGGGCTTTGCTCCTGAGTTTATCAAATCAAAACTGTCTTCCAATTTGTCGACCTGTTGCAAACAGAAGGGAAGATATTGCATTGGATCTCCAGCGTCACGTGCATATAAAAACAGAACAATTCAATCATACAAATGCTACTCTTTCAAAAATGTTTCCACTATTAAAATATGGCAACAATCAGCCTACTTTTTTGCGCATGATGAAGGTAGCTAGACTACTTTCCTTTCAAATCATCCCAAATGAGAACCATGTTAGATATTCTGTTACTAGTTCACAATTCGAAAAATCTGATTCTATAGCTTTTGATCAATGTGCTGAGACTGCCAGATCTATTTAAATATTTTGCTGCAAAAATATTTCGTTGAAGGCACAAACTCACAACAACAAAATCTGTGATTCTTACCGTGAGAATGGGAAGCAAAGGGCCAAATATTTCCTCAGTCATGATCAAAGAGTCTTGTGGGACATTGAGCAAGATGGTGGGAGCTATCCTCCTGTGATCAAATGGAAGAAGCATTAATCGCATTTACGATACAATGCAATACCCTATTAATTCAGAGAGAGAGAGAGAGAGAGAGAGAGAGAGAGAGAGAGAGAGAGCGCTAAGAAGAGAACAATCAGATAAAGTATAACATACAAGTTAGTTTTGTCCATTTCACCTCCATGGACGATCTTTCCAGAAACCTTATCCTCATCCAAGAGCTTTGTCAAGCGAGCAAAGTGATTAGGATTCACAATACGAGACAAATCTTTTGATTCTAGTTGATTCTTTCCATAGAAGTTCTCCAATTCTTGTTTCAGAGATTCCACCTGTGAATAAAGACAATGAAACAGATGGCACAAACAGAAAAACAAATTCAGATCTCCAATGGGATATGAGGGTAACCTTACCAGCTTAGGAGCAAAATCTTTTGTTGTTACGATATAATCAGGGGAGACACAAGCCTGTCCATTATTACACCCCCACTTACCAACGATTATGCGCCTACATGCAACCTTGGAGAAACAAAACGACAAGTTTGTACATGAGACGAGATGAAAATCGCAGCACCGTAGTAGCAGAAAGTAAAATACATCAAATATTATTGAGGCTATGCAAGAAGGAAGATCTCTATACTTGTAAGTTGATGCCAGAATCAACGATAACAGGGGATTTTCCTCCAAGCTCCAAAAGAACTGGTGTAAGGTGCTTTGCAGCACTAGCCATCACTATACATCCAACCCTACCATTTCCTACAAATTTAAATATAATATTTTCAACCCATTATATAGAAAAATCAGCTGTAATCTAAGGAAGATGAAAAATCAGAACAAATGAGAGGAAAATGACTAAGAACCTGTGTAACATATCTTATCCCACTTTTGCTCTAATAGTGCAGATGTTTCAGCAATGGCCCCCTCAACGACTCTTATACAAGAGCTATCCATATATTCACCTACAAGTTTTGCAAGCAATGACGATGTGGCTGGAGCAAGTTCTGATGGTTTAAGAACCACAACATTACCAGCCGCAATGGCTCCAACAACTGGATCAAGTGAGAGTACTGGAAAAAAGATACTACAAAATTATTTTTGTTTGAGGACAGGATTAATTAGGACTATAGAGCTCAATGCTAAACTTAAAAAAAAAATGTCCAGTATGAACGTACAGAAAGGATAGTTCCATGCTGAAATTACTAGTATAGCACCAAGAGGTTCAGACACTATTTCAGCTGATGCAGGAAAAACTGCTATTGAAGTTTTAACCTGTAATGAAAGGGAAATATTAGCATGTTACTCATGGGGAAAATAGATAGAATACAAATGTCAAATCAACTCAAGAAATGTCTGTCTTGACAAACAAAATGACAACCATTGGTTGCCAATCAATGGAGTTGCTGACAAAGACAAACCTTTTCTGGCTTCATCCATTTCCTCAGCTCCTTAATAGCCAAATTACATGAGTTTTTTAACATAGCTATCTACACGAAAACCATATAAACCAAATATGAAGTCAATAACAAACAAGACATTCATGTGAAGTTTTCACAGAGAAGAAATTAATTGGACAAGGGCCTAAATAATTGGATGACTTTATTGATTAGGTAAGCATTTGATTCAATAATTGTCTATTTCGCAAGCAGGAGAGCCAAAAGATTGTGTCCACAACCACCAAAACCAATGGCTGACAAAAAATGCTCTCCATTTGTTTACCAAATTGGGAGAGAGCCAATTTTTCAATCCAAACTGTTCCGGTGCAGAAACATCCAATTCAGGGTGAACCACGAAATCCACAGTTCAGATTCTGACCCGCCATCTCCATTTTTGTATGGAGTTAAAGCAGAGCCATATCCACAGTAGCACATATGTAAGATATCTATAATTCAATACAGAAGTGTACCTATATACATATATATGTGTAAGCGTATATATATATTGCTAGATATCCAACATGTTATGTTGCTAGACTATGAATCAGCACCGCATATTCAAACACGGGTTTACCCTAATCAATGGTTCTGATAGTCTGGAAACATAAGATACTGGACCTTTCTAACAAATCAGGCATTTGCAAATTTAAACATCTATCTCTACTACAAATTAAAAACACGCAACAATCTTTATTGTTGTCAAATTTATTCCTGTAAGTCTCTACATAGTTTTAAGCGTTTTTGTCCTGCAGACACCCCATGCGGTTAATGGAAAGTTGATTCTTTACCTTTTCTCCGCATCACACCTAGCTATATTTAGAAAAGACAAGGCTTGACTTATCTCAAAGAATAAAAATTTTAAGATATATGAATACTTATGACACCAAACAGACATGAAAAGTACTCCTCAACTTACAAGAGTTATTACAAACCCCATAATAAAGCCCTACCCGGCTAGCCCCTCCCCACCAAAAAAAAAAAATTGGAAGAAAAAAAAAATGCGAGCAACCTTCTTAGTTCTTATTCTACCTTCTCGGCTCTCCTCATCCTACAATGTTGAATGATTATTTGAACCGCCTATTTTCTTGGTTACTGTTTGGACCCAAATTTACATCATCGGCCCGTGTAATCGAGACCGTAGAGTAAACATAGTTCTCAGCCGTCGGATGGAAAAGTGAAAATATTTTTGTTAAAAGATAATATTATGGTTTTTATCATGATTATCTTTTAATTTGAATTATCTTGACATATTCTTAAACGGGATGGATATGATGCAAATTATATCCTCAAGTAAGAGTGTTTGGGCTCAAATTAACATGTTGGGCCGAGTATAGAACCACTCTCGGCCCGGGAGGCCTGGCGACAGGGGAGCCTTGGATCATTTAGTACGTGGGCTCCTAAACCTAGGTTGGCTAGGTCATATTACATTTACTAGTCGAGTCCTAACGCGATAAGGAGTCTCGGCAAGGGTAATAACCCGGAAGTGAATCCGGCTCAATAGAGGACTAGGCTCACAATCCTAGTAAACATAGGACTGGTCGAGTGGGTGTTTGATCCGGAGAAGAAGACCTAGTTCGAGTAGGGTTTTGACTCGACTTCAAAGGTATCTAGTGCTATAAATAGAGGAGGCTGTGCATCATTCAAGAGGACCTCCAACCCCACAAAATCAACACAAAATTGCCCTGCGCAAACTCTCACAACTTGAGATCTTTTTCTTTTCCTTTTTCGCTGACACATCTTCCGTTGGCATCAACAGCACTGTGGAAGCAACCGGTGATATCTTAAGTCGGCATAGATAGCTCTGTCACCGTAGAATTGGTCGGTCTCGCAGTATCTTCCGTTGGCATCAACAGCACTGCGGCGAGAACGGTCAATTACCTATCCAATTCTTGGTCGAGAAGGGTTTTCGAATCCTTATTGGTCGAGGTCATTTCATTAGCCTTCTCGGCGAAGTGAGGTGTTACAGTTATTACATTCGGCACATTGAAAGCCGAATTCGGTTCGTGAACTTTGTAAGAGTAGCAGCCTTGTCTTCAGGCTCGAGAACCCAAGAGGCCGAGACGTGTTCCTTTCTCGGCCGCAATCGCAAGACGCAGAAGTCAGTAGCGCGACCCAACGCAACATCATCAAATTTACTCCTCGGCCGAGCCTCGGCCGACGAGTTGGCACGCCCGCAATCACCGAAGGACGTAGTTAGCTTAGAATATACTTGGCCTGCGCGCCACGTAGGCTTTGTAATTTCTAGGGTCAACAGTTACTATTCAAAGATCTTTTTGCAAAAAATTAACTAAATCCGAAATCGTTTAGACATCTAATGGTTATTCAAGAAATTAGACAAACTATGATTCTCAATTAAACATTGAAATTTTGACACTGTTAGTCAACCGGTTATGCAGACTTGATCCCCAAAGGTGATATAGAAAGTAGACAGTTCAGATCATCAAACAATATTACATGATGAACAAGAAAGCCAAGAAGATTCAAGTGAGAAGGTTGCTAGCATCCAAAAGAAAAGGGCTGACTTTCAAATGGAGGGAATGCATCCTCACAAATAGTATGCGAGACAAATTTATCTGTGCAATAAATCTAGTGGGGTGTCATTGATTACCCCTGTGATCCACTCCACCCACTTCTTACATTCTTCCTGCATAGCTTATTAAATATACCCCACATAATGTATGCATCAGAACTACTAAGTGACAGAAGCACGATTTTCCTACCCCAAGTGACAAGGCCTCCCCACCTAGTTTGAGAAGAATTTGGAAATTATGATCCGGATTTAGAGTCCAATGGAAAGCACAAAACCAAAGAGACACCATTATGTAATCGAAAAATATGCACAAATAAAATCGGTTACAAATTTTTAATCGAACATAAAAGTGGATGAACACTAATTAAACAATGAAAGGGGCACTAAAACCGTACACGGCTTATTTTGTGGGATCCATTTGTGCATATTTTTCTAGGCAATTACATAACAGAACATTTGAGTGAGCAATCAGCATTTAATAGTGTCGTACTGAACTAAAGCAATCAGCAAATTCTAGTCACAACCCAATTCATGATTTAGCATATAGATATGAATTATTGACATGAGAGAGAGAGAGAGAGAGAGAGAGAGAGAGAGAGAGAGAGAGAGAGAGAGAGAGAGAGAGAGAGAGAGAGAGAGAGAGAACATGTCCACATCAAATCATTCAGAAACCAACAAAAAAATTCGATCCAAATTTCTCGGCAAATTTTAAGCACAACCTAATTCACTGGTGAGAAATTAAATGGGGGAATCGGAGGACCTCATAGACTTTGGATTCGAGTTCAGGCTTGGAGAGGTCGGAGCGGAGAGCGTTGACGATCTCCAGCTCGTTTTCGGTGAGGAGCTTGAGGATGCACTCGAGCTGCGACACCCTCCATTGATAGCTCCGAGTCTTGCCGGAGGCGAAGGTCACTCTCAGCTCCTTGACCACAGCAGAGGCGGCTTCTTCGTCGAAGGGCTTCTCCGAACCCATGGTAGAACTAGAAACGGATAGACAGAGTAGAAGAATGTATGTATATATATGTGTGTATGTGTATATATTTGAATTGAGCGTGTGTGTATATATATATATATATATATATTTATATATATTTGAATTGAGTGTGTGGGAAGAGACGTGTGAAGATCTCTCTCTATCTGACTTACGAAGGAAGAGAAGAACAGTTGTTGATGGAACAGACGATGTCACACCCGGAGATAAACCTGAAGAGAGAGAGAGAGGGTTCTCGCGACTTAACGGAATTGGGTTGTGATTTGTCACGTCACTTTAAGTTTTTTATTCAAAATAAGTTATGACTTATGTTAAAGAATTTTTTTTATTTCTCTTTAATATATTGATATTTTAGACTAAGAAGGAAGCAAGTTCAGCTATGTCATACAATGAGCAACTTAATTTGGTATCGAAGATGAATACTACAAGACCATATTACTTAATGACATGTTCAAGATTATTTTGGACACCAACATCTCATTATTCATATAAATATCACCCTACTTCCATTAAGTTCTTCCTAAAAACTATAGGATTTGTAGAAAATCAATTGAAAATATCATGAACTTTAAGCAATATTTTCTCATTACATAGTGCTTTTGACAAAAAAAAAAAGGAAGAAGAAGATAAAACCTAATATATGTAAAAGCTCATGCAAAAAAAAAAAAAAAAGTGAAGATAAAACCTAATTTCAATCAAAATATATGAATTCTTGGGTACATTACTATATAGCTTATTTTACATTTCTTTAACACTATGTATCAGGATACATTCTTTTGCTATTTATGATTTCATAATATTACATTTTAATATAATGAGGGTCTTTGTATCTAGGATTTATATGCGCCCCCCACCCCCCCCCCAAAAAAAAGAAAACACACACACACACATATATATGTATACACACACAATATGGGATTATAAATCTCATACATGTCAAACATATAAAAATATACATATTAATATTAATATAATGAGGTTTTAAAAATCAAGGGACTTTAATAAAAAAATTGAAGGTTTTAATTAAAAACTGCTAGTGACAATGGACCAAATCCAAAGTCTCCATTTATAGAACTTCATAGCTAATCAATTGTACATGCAACTTAGGAAATTAATTGGCTGAAATGTTTATGAAACTTGAACAATTGGCTAGAATGGTAAAAAAAACTAAATATTGATTGTCAAATTGATTGAACACTCTAACAAACTTATGATATCATCTTTATAATCCATCATTTCACCCTTGTAGAGGCTTTTATTTTTGTAAATTTATTAATTTACTACCTGTGTATTGTAGACGCATTAAAGCAGCCAATTTTACATGAAACTTTAGCACTTTTTGAAAGTTTGAAAATTGAAAGGACAAATAGAATCACTGCAATTACTAAATTGGGTACGAAGGGTACCCAGACCAACCTCGTCCACCCCAACCTTATCCTTCATACGATGATCAATAAGTCAAAATATCAAAAATAAAAAATGGAGTGTTATTCAGACATCTATTTTTAGTTTTTACATGCTCCTTTCAAATTTCGGTTGTCAGTTTAGACGAATTGAAAAAGATCAATGAACATATATTAACAAGGATGTGAAGGAGGTAAAATGGATGTATGAATAATATCATCCAAACAAAAACCCCACAAACCAAAAAATAAACTAGAAGAGCACACAAAGATGCAGATGATGTTTTACTGCATTGATGGAAAACAATAATGATTATGCATTATGGTGTGAATTCAATTCTCATCAATTTTCACCCCTCCAACATTAACAATTTAACACACTAACGGTGGAGAGAGAGGAACCTAACCTCTTGAACGTAGGCTTCAAATTCAGGTTTGGAGAGGTCTGACCGAAGAGCATCGACGATCTCTTGTTCGTGAAGCTCCGCCACCTTCAAGAGGTTGTTCAGCTGCGACTCCCTCCACTCGTAGCTTCTGGTCTTGCCGGAATTATAGCTGGCCCTCAGCTCCTCAACCATGGTCAACGCATCTTTCGAATCAAAATACATCCTCTTCTGCTCCTCCACCGTCGCCATGAATATATAAAATGATATATCTTCTGAATAAAAATGAAAAGGTAGGTTTTACGAGGCAAGGAGAAAAACAAACGTTATAAAAGAGGTGTGTCTTTGTTTGTATATCTCGTGCATTTGCCTTGGGTGAAAATGCTTTTCGAATCTGTAGTAGGTGACATTGGTCTCTCCACTACTCTCAAATGGGAGTGTAACACACGTTGGGAGATATTATAATATTTATTTGTGTTTTGTGTTCTTATTTGAAATTTCAAGGCGTAGGAAGGGAGAGCAAAAGAGTCCGAACACTTGTAACAAATCTTGGTACTATTCATTTTACCCTTTATTTTGTCCTTATCGTTAAAACTCAAAGTTTTCAAATCATTTTCATTTGTTTTCCTTAAATAATACAGGTAGTTGATGGTTTGGATTGGACGACCAAATAGAGGGCTTCAATCTAACAGCTTTAAAAGTTGTATCATTTAATGATACGGAGTATGAAATTTCACACCCTATTGTTTTACCATTAAAACTATACACTCTTAGGGTGCATTTGTTGCACTAGACTGTCTTGGACTAGATAGCTTCAGGGACTAAGCTGGACTGGCTTAGACTACACTAAGCTGGACTGGCTTAGACTACACTAAGCTGGACTAACTTAGTGAAGCGTTTGGTGCAATGTTGGACTAAGTCACAGACTACATTTTTTTTGCCATTTTTAATTCACTTTTGGCTTAAAAAATATACAAAAATTAATAATTAAAGGGCAATGAAGTCTGGAAATGAATAGACCTAAGCAAATTTTCTTTCCCCTTCCTTCCTTTACCCTTCCTCATTTCTCTTCTCCATAATTTTCTCTCTATCAAATTATGCATCAATCTCTTACTTTTCTTGTTTAATTAAAGGGCAGTGAAGTCTAGAAATGAATAGACCCAAGCCTTCAGAGATTCCAAAAAGAAAGGCAAGCCTTCCAGTAACCAATTAAACCTGCAAATCACATAAAAAAAGCCCATAAACCAAAAAAAAAAAAATCGATTTACTGAGATTGCGAAGTAGTCATAGTGGAGATGACCCAGTCGATGAGGAGGCAAGTCGAAGGCAAAGCCAAAATCAGTAGCTTCAAAGCCACAACCATGGTAATAGCGAAGCAGCAAAGGAGAAGAAGATGGTGGAGATGACCCTGTCGACCAGGTCATCGTTAGAGATGAAGAAGTCGACGAGTTCGTTGTTGGAGATGAAGCCGCGCCCAAAACTTGTGCCGTCGAAATCGACGTTGGGGAGGTGATTCAAGCAGGACGAAGAAGTTCTTAGCTAGTCCGATGGTTTTCGAGGGGACACGCTAAGAACGGCTAGTGAGGTTTTTAGTGAAAGTGAGTCCTGGCTAATCCCATTAAAACTAGTCCAGCTAGGAAACAAACACAAGACTGGACTAATCTTTAGTCTAGTCCAGTCTAGTGAACTTTAGTGAGGGGAAACAAACACCCCCTTATTTCGTAAGTCGTGTACATTATAGTGAATGTCTTCGTTGAATAAGTCTAAAAACCTCGATGTCGAAATCGAAGGAGGAATATGTGCTACCAGGCTACAAGTATATATATCTACTTTAGAAACGGTGTAATAATTATTTTCAACACAAAATCTTGAATTTATGTGGTTCTATATAGAGTTGGTTGACCCAGCTTTGTTACGTTTGCTCCTTGATGAGATCTATATTAATGAAATAATAGTATTAATTAGGTTACCGACTTGGTTCGTTCATATAACAAATTCAAATTCAAGAAAATATAGCTTCTTTTTGGTCAACAAATGTATAACAAAAGTACACATGTTTAGGGTTGAAATCAAATTCGCACATTACTTTGTGTGTAGAAGAGTGCACAAAATCGAATACTTGTAAAATATCAAATGATCGTAAGATCGCCTTGGCACCGGTAGGGTACCAATAATGGTCAAGTTAGTAAGAAATTTATGAGACTTAAGCACTAAGCAAGAAAATAGATTATGCGATAATTGCGTTACTAGAGATGAACCATAAAAGGGTGCATTTATAGTAGTTAAGACTTGAGAGTCATTTTAGAATATAAAATCCTGATTGAACTGGGAGAATCCCAAAGGATATTTAGGAGTGTGATTAGTTGTGGCGCATGACAATCCCTAGATGGTAGAAATCTCCAAGAATATAAGAAACTTATCTAATCCCTAACTGGATTAGGTTTCCATATCTTGCGAAACAAGAATGGTCAATCATAGTGAAGCCGGCAGACTTCGCCTACCTTTCTAGAACACAGGATGTGGTGGCATTGTTGGTCTATTTGTGCAACTTAGTATGCTAGAAGTTGTTGAGTCCATGATCAAACTTCTAAGGTATTAATGTTCTGATCCATCAGTAAAAGAGAAATTCCTGCAACAAATTAAATAAGAACATGTGTAGAAAGTAATAAATTTGTATTGATGAATTTAGGGTTATTTATTTGAAAATCATGTGTTTTGGAGTCTATCAGGATACATACTATTCAAAATTCTTCTGACACATGGCAACCCATTTGTGTAACCATTACAAGGTAATTGAGACATTCTGAATTTAGACGTGTGCTTTTGAGAATCAAACCATAATGTTGCAATGATGTGAATGCCTTACTTGCATGTGCATGAGAAATGATGGATTGCATTTTACATTTCCAATTGATTTCAGTTTGGCGAATTTATAGATCTTGCGGCATGACAATCCAGATTCAACGGTAAGATGACTCCTTAATATCTTATAAATATCTTCAGATTTCTTCTTTATTTCCTTCACATTTCAAAGCGCTCAAGCCTTCACTTTTATTCCAGAATTTTTGCATAGCCTTTTTGCTTGAAGTCCTCACCTTCAATTTCTTTTCCCAAACCCTTCTAATTGAAAAACATCTTCTTCAGTGTTCTTCTTGCCACATGCTTACATATTTTAAAAACATGCTTATGTCGAGACTGAGGTAGCATTACACAATCAGGCTAAAAGGATTGGTAATCTAGAAGCGGCCTACAAAAGTTAACATGGATGCAAGATCTAGTTGGAGAGGCAACTAAAGGAAAAATCTAAGGAGCTGGGGAAGGTGTTGGTAGACAAATAAACAGCTGAGAAAACCTACGAGATTAAGCAAAATAATTTGACCAAGTGTGCCATGAAAAGAATAAGGCTATTGACCTCAAGG